AGCAACCAGGCCATCCAGAGGCAAGAAACATGCCATAATCATCGGCGGCATGAAGCAGTGTTACTCTAAGCTTGCACTGAAATGCAGGACACGTTGAAGCATCAATCTCGCAATTACGGACGATGTTCTGCACGCTCAGACGATTTGCTTTCGCACTCCGTTTCAAACGTGAAGGAATTTGTGGACACAATATCAGCAATTTTTCGCCATCACAACCACAACTGCTACAGCGCCAGTAAGCGCATTCTCAATCAACTGCGCGAGATTGCAGTAAATACACAACACTGCATAACCACGGCAGGAAACGCCGTTACCGTATGAGGCTTGACCACTGGCTCTTCCGCCGTGGTTTTGCCAGCTTCCGTACATCTGCTATGTGTTCGAGAGGTCTGTTCTGAGCTCTATTGTTTAGGAGGGTCGGACGACTCGCCGTTGGACTTCAAATCTTCTTCTTCCCACTCCTGTTCGTTCCAGCGCTCCAAACGCTCCTGCACTTCTGTTTGACGCCGTTTCATCTGGGAACAAATGGTACTTATGTTCACGGGACCATTTTCAGCCAATATAGACAGCCAAAAAGCGTCGCTTGAGGCCTGGGCAGCTGAACGTTTTGCGGACTGCCTGGGGCTCATTGCATGTAAGTCCGATTCCTTGCATTGTGGCGGCGGTAGCAAAGTTTCCTCGCCTTCAAAGTCCATGCACTGCGCTGACATTATAGCGTATGCCTGAAGTAAGAGACACGCCAACCACCGGAAAGCAACTTTTTTTTTCGCTTGAACGACGCTCAAATTGAGAGACAGCTGCCAATGATTCGATTTACGCAGCAAGCCCATTCCCCACCTCGTCTTCTTGCTCCCATCGATGATTAATGGCCTCTTCCTCATTAGCAGCCGGGATCCTTGAGCTCCAAGCGCAGGCAAGTGTCTGTGGAGACACGCGAAAGGATCCAAACGCTTCACTCACCTTCCTCCTCTCCATTCCACGTTCAAGTTTATTGTTTACATACCTTGCTAGAGCGTGCTTGTGCAGTTATAACCTATTTTGGGCCACTGTGTGGGCACTTTACACAAAATGTGTGTGCATACTTACCCTCCCGTGAAGTTGCATTCCTTGAAGATGGGTAATTGCGGCCAGAGCTGCTTCATGTGAAGCCAAACGAACAAAGCCGAAGTTCTGTGGGAGAAAAGTGTAATATCCTTCATGAAGTATTTCGCTACACTGTGTAAAAACTTCACACTGTATTTTAAGTTGCTGCCACGCAACGGTCACAGGGAATCCCTATTTTTCACAGTGCCAGTAGCGCAAGCATCTCATTTCACGTCCTGCTCTCACTAGATGGGCACAGAGTCACTCCTCAAAGCGTGTTCAATACCCCGTAGCTCAAAAGTTACGCTCTAGGATGTTCCATACGCGATTTCCCTCGGCTACATTCAGCGCGGCAGCATGCTCAGTTCATTGCCTCCTTACCCTTGTTGGGTGAACTTCAGCGGCTCTGACTACGTCAAAGTATGAGCAAATCTCTCGAAGCTCTTCCTATGAGGTGAACGTGACAAACAGCAAACACAATATAAACATGAGCGTGACACTTCAGTCGTGTCTCACTTTACTCATGTGCCGCTTCACATTCAGCATCTAAACGTCTATCTAAACTATCTATCAAAACTTTTCCAGCCAAGAGAGCTCCTCCAATGCGATCGTTCGTAGAGCCTGTGAAGAAGACGTTCAATACCCTGTTTCACGCCTCTATAATTTCGCACTCTACTTACGCCATTCGTCAGAGGAGGCAAGTTTGCAATGAAAATGCTGCAATTAGCCGCATGAGTAAGCGGCTCCCTAGGACTGCGAACACTCACAAAGGCAGTCAAGTGATGTACCTATCAATGGCATTCATGTGGGGCTCCATACAGCTTACTCATGAAGTCAATTTTCCACAACAGAAGCAAGCGTCTTTGTGCTGCTTACTTTCCTCGGTGTCGGTGTTTGTGCACCTTACGAACGATAAGATTTGGCGCACTAGGCAGATCCTGCAGGCAGGAAAAAGCATACGCCTACCTCATTTATTTACGTGTGCCGGTCTCGTGCCTATCCTTCAAAGCTGATGAATAAATATCATTCCCTTTCCAGCAACACGGCTTTTTACGGGACTGTAAGTGGATTGGACGGCACCTGCAGCTTCTTCAACACCTCGTCTGATGTGTTTTCGTCGGAATAGCGAAGAAATGCATACTCCTGCATTCCTCTTCTGGAAGGGATTCCCGCCACCGCTGACATCTAAGGACACGCCTACACACCCATCTGCTATGATACAGTCAACTACGTGAGACTTTAAGGAGGGTTGGGCGCCAGATGAAGCACGGAATATTTCAATACCTTCACGTGTGTTGGGGCTATTCCTGTTGCTGAAGTAACGAGCTCCTCGACTTGAGCAGCGGTGGCGCCTGCGTTTGTGAGACCACTCAAGTTGAATTAGGAGGAAGAAGTATTAACGGCAGCGTATCGGTAGCTGCCCCGGGGCTAAGTCGATGGTGGGGATTCGCAAAAGTGCATTCACCGTTAGGGAATTCTTAGAACACAAGCCATTTGGAGCAGATTTAACGAACGCGCAGACCACCTCAGCACCCTAAACACTTGGCAAGGGAAAAAGACGGATTTGGGATTTTGTCTGGAACATGGCCAATAACACTGGCCCTAACAAACGGCTGCTGAAGCTATTAACAAGCAACTGTCAATGAAAAGGAAAGCCCGGATAGAGGCGGGCAACAGACTGGAAAGCGAAGCACCTGGTTGCAAGCCAGAAACGTAGATGTGATACTGATCAATAACAAGCGGGGTACTCCATGTCTCGTGCAAAGAAAGCCGCACTTTGCTGCAACGCAGAAGTAATACTAAAGTCAGTGCACTCATCCCAGAGCCACAGTAGTAAACGCAGCAGCTAAAACTGTGATAGTGCTTTCACTGAAGATGAGCATACATTATGTAAATAAAGAATGCAAACCAAACTGCTGTTGCCCCTTTTTCCAGAAGCCATTCGGGGCAAGTAGGAGTATACAAAAGGGGAGAAACAGCAAAATGACAGCCTTACGACGAAGTTCCCGGCAGAAGGACAGTTTTCCCAAGGAGCCGAAGGGCTAAGTCTGCCAACAGTTCATGCGTGAAATCAACAACAGCATAAATGCTGCCCCCATGGTTATCAGATGCAATGCGAACGCTAGATACTGCGTGAGGAAGTTGCTCCAAAAGCTGTTTGCGCTGACTGAAGCCATCGCCTTCTTGCCGTGCAGGGTTCCACGGATCTTCTTTGGGGTGCAGACGGTTGCTTCGCCAGCTGCTCTGAGGCAGAGAACCTTGGCGTGCAAGCACGGGAGGCCGGCTTTCTTTAGCATTCATTTGTGTTAGGCTCGACTGGCCAGCTTTCCCAGAAAAGAGCTGTCGCAGGGCTTCTGTTGCCTGTTCGGCGCCCAGGTGTTTTGGCAGATCACGCACAAGGATGCTGCGCACCTCGACCTTCGGCCGTTTCTCCGTTTCATTTTCTGCAACGACTGAATAATGTTCTATATCAGTTGACTCAAATAAACGCTGCATTTTCTATGTCTTGCCTGGCACGGCAAGCGTGGTAGGCCTACCCAGCCTCACACAGTGACCGGCCCAGTGGTTTGGTTAAGTTTGGTAAGCCCAAGTGGGCGGCGCCAACGAAAACTGTCAAAAAAGACAAGAAACCTAGAGAACATATCCTTTTCAGTAGAAATTCGGGTGATTGGACGAATTTTTCTGAAGGTCACCGGTTGCTCCAACCCCACCGTGCATCAAGCGTGCACGACCTGGTTCTGTTCAGCCATTTCCCAGCAACCCCGCGGAACCTTCACCCACAGTTGAGCACTAAGATGAAGTTATTCTCATTCTTTCATTTTTCATCTTAATACGTTGGCTGCTGAGGACCAATATGATAAAGTATCTGCAGATCGGTGTACAGTGGAGTGACCCTAACCTGCACCAAACAATTCAGTGGCCCTCGTTTGCGGGGCCCCTACTCAATGAGTACTTCTTCTTTCAACGCACCTGCATCTAATTATAACAAGAAGAACACAATTGTCAGCGCTGTGCTTTTCTCGAGAGTCTAGGAGCCGCGCGCTGCCCACTGCTGCTGGGCAGGCGCCAGCCCAGGACACGCAGACGTCCTCACTCGTTGCAATCACAACATTCACAGACCCTGGCAAGTACCAGGCATTAATTTGACACTATCCCTGGTTTTACTAGTACCGTATGCAGCGTAAAAAACACCGCTACATAGGAGTTCCTGTAGAAGTCCCCAACAGTGCTCTGAATGCATGTGCAGCCAAACGAGGCATACCTCCATGCCATTTGAAAAACCGTATCCCCTACGGAGGCTATGGGCGTACATGCCGTGAGCGCACAGCTCCAGCTAGCGCAGCTCCGCATGAGCGGACCTCCTCCCCCGTCAAATTGTCCTGCTTTGGCGTGGCCACCCCTTTAGGAGATTCTAAGTCGGTGCAACTGTTCATTCCCAGTGCTAATAAAATAGTGTTTCCCATGAGTTGCAACTACACTGATCCCCTGACGGGCCGCATCTGGCTTAACAACGTCTTACTAACTTCCTAATCAAAGTCGTTTTTGCTTGTGTTCGGCCCGGAATGTGCGAGAGGGTCCCCACTACGAAGCAACACTGACTCATTGACAACTATGTCGGCAGCCTCCAAACCTCTGAACAAAATGCCTGGTAAGTAGGCTGGCACCTTCAGCTCTTCGGCCGCAACGAAGTTTCCCACCTTCCGCACATTATGTCAGTCATCTAGGTGACTGTCAGTTGGCAAGTCAAAAAGCCACTAAACTATGCGTGTTGGTCAAAGCAGAACGAACGCACTGCAAGCTGGGTCTGCCTCGTTAATACTTCGATCCCCAGTTTAAACAATGCAAGCATTTGTGGAAACAAGATAATATTAAATTGCACAGAAGAACCCAGTCATTCAAACAGGAATGACCCCTGCTCAACGCGAAACAACTGAAAGATAAAGTCGGCTCTCCGGAGAGCGGATCCCGGCCTCAACCAGCGTCAGGTGGTCCTGAATGAAAACCGCAAAGCGCATTTAGCTTGAAGATGGAAAATGCGTTCATGGTAAGACGTTATCTGTGGACACTACAACTACTCGCGAAGGGACGCAGTACTTGTCATACATCATAAGCTATTAGACGGCAACACACACAATCAAGAACCCCAAACCGCGAAACTCCGAAAATGACTGAGATTTGTGCTGGGCGTGAAAGGTTCTCACTAGCATGGCTGGGCCATCAACGGAAGTGGAAAGCTGAAGATCTCTCGCCCTGAGGGTTTCTGCACCGATGCCAGCATCCAAGAGAGATTGTTTCAGTTGAGCGCCCGTAAGGGAGCGATCGACCTCCACCTGGGCCTCCTGCGCCTCAAGGCCCTCTCCCTCACGGCAAACAACAGTCAGCAGCAGCAGCGAGGGGACGCCATCAGCAGCCGCTGCCGGTGCAGAAGGCGTGCTGTCCACCCGCTGCCTTTTTGCTTCTGGTGCCTCCCCAGAAACTCCAACGGCCGCGACTGTCGCCTCTGCACGAAGCGGGTCAACTTCAGCCTCAGCCTCCAACCGCTGACCATAGTGAGACACAGGCACGGCCGGACAGTCAACATCTCCAGTAACAAACGTGAAAAAAGTGTACAAAAATTACCGCAAAAGTGAAGGAAAAACATGTGAATACTGAACCCCTCCCAACAAACAGGCTACTCAAGTGCACTAACTGCCTTACATTGCAGCCTGCCAGAGATACAGAAACAAAGGGTAACGACCTAGAAGTGCCACAAGAAAAGTCACACAAAACATCGGAAAAGACAGCAACTCCTACCGCGTGGTCATCAACGGAACCAAAGAGATCTGGTCTCTTGGCCACAAATTGTGCAAGGTAACCCTCTACGTCTTCTAATGGAGCGAAGGCAGACTCCGCTTGCGCCTTTTCAAGGAACCGATCCTTCTGTTCCCTGTATAAAAACAGGGAAACATATCTTTATTTGTGTCAGCAAGACCCCACCATACGCAGTACACCGTGGAGTCTCTAGGAACAAGTGGTGCTGCCTATACAAAGCAGTGAATTCTCTCTTCTCAAAAAATCAGCCTTGTCAGTTGCATATGCACATTTATGTAGAAGGCTGGCTCTGGGGCTGAGCGTACTTCCACTTGGGGTCAAGCAATAAAATTCTGAGATGGTTTGTCATTTGGTCTGCAGGTATTAGCTGCCCTGTAATGGGGCACCGCTGGAAGCCACTGGAGGCCCCTGTAGCCGCCTGCCTCTTCTTCGTGCGTACGTATCCCTTCACGACTCTCAGTGGCGCAGCTGGGGCTGGTGGCTGTCCCGCAAAGACACACAACACGAGAAGCAAGGTGCGATATATGTGTTTCTGAGATCGAAATGCAAACTACGTAGGGCGGCAGACGCAGGAAAAAGATCCATAACAAGCAGCGTACAAACAATCAGCGTACAAGGCGCCATATGCAAATCGGGTAAAAGTGCTTTTGAAGCATATTGAGACAGCCTCAGCATGAAGACAAACAAGCAAAGAAAAAGATTTGAAAAAAAAGCTTTGTTGTGGAAGCAACACAAAGCACGACACCAAAATAAACTACGAAAAGTGCATGAAGGTAAGGATGCGGTAAGCAATGCAACCACCAGTCAGCTCCCCTGCGCAGAGTCAACGGGTTCCCAATGCATCTGCCAAGAGAGACTGGAGACCCTCATGTCGAGTTCGCGCCTTTTACGGCGCTGTTTCATCAGCTGGCAGCCACATCCGTACACGGCTACGCTCTTCCAAAAACGGGGTCAACATTCACACAATAAATATATCAAGTGTGCAGAAGGTGGAGCGTGCAGGTCCAAAACACGCCCGTAGCGGTAAACACTGTAAAGCAGAGAATTGATGCAGCACCGGTGACTTGCCAGCTCTTGCTGCTTTTCCGCCGCAGCCCTTTCCGCTGCTTCTGCAGCATCAGCACTGCCTGCCGTCGCCTGTCTCTTGTCTATGGCTTGTTTGGCTGTTTCCTCCTCGTCTTCTGTTTCCATGGCTTCGTCATCCTGATCAGCGTCCGCACCCTCAATAAGCTTAGCGATAGAGTCCACTTTATCACCTTCTTCTGCCAACCCATCCGCAGCGGTGCCATCCTCTGCTAACAATGCCTTGGGCAGCTCCTTAGGGATAGACTTGAAGTCGATGGGGGCTGCAAGTGGCAGCCGTTCATCTTCCTCCGTGAAGTCGATGGTCTCGACAACATGAAAGTCTGTCCACTCTAGCGACATCATCAGCCGCCTTTCTTCCTGTGTTTTGGTTTCCTTTTCTTTGCGCTGCTGAAGCTGCTGCCGCTCGTACATCATACGACGCCGCACCCGTGCTAAGAGCGCCTGGCGATTCCCCGCAGTCTCCTTTATACTCTCGAGCATCTCTTTCTGTGGCAGAAGACACTTCGTATATGCATCCACAAGCGACGCGAAAAAGGAAAACAGATGGTGTGAAGGCTTGAGAAAGGCAAACTGCGGGTTTTGCTGCTCTCGCTGAGCCAAACCCGCCAAGAACTTTTGACCGTTACGAGCCACAAATTGCGCGGCGCAGCGGATGATGTCCAAATCTATGGGAGCCACCCACGGATGCTGTAGCACGAACTGGTGTGGGGGAGGAGGTTCAATTTGTTCCTTGTTAGCTTCTTTCTCGCTCTCCCCTATCTGCGTCAACATCAGCAGCTGCTGCTGCTGTTGTTTCTCCTGCTGCTGCTTCTGCTGCATGTCTCGAATGGCCTGAGGCACTTGTGGAGTCGGCGCAGCTTCACCCGTGGTGAACTCTCTGACCTTAAGCTTGTAGAAGGCGTGGTAAGGATTGTTTGGCAGCAAGAAACCAAACTTCGTGGCGCTCTGCTCCCGGAGCACGCGAGACTCGAATTCTGCCCCATTTTTTGCCACAAACTGTGCTGTCTTCTCGATGACACCCCTCATATCTGCGGGTGGAAATATAAGGTCAGGATGGGGGGTTCCCGGTGCACCCACATCGGAAGTCCCTACTCCGGAGGCGCCAGATGCGCCAGGTCCAGTGGGAGACCCTGACGGGCGCTGAGTAGGCTCCACTGCAGCGCTCATTATCAAAATATAAGGAAGGACGGGACAAGATGGAGAACGAGAAAAAGTTTAACACAAGGAAGAGCTGAAAGCTGTGCTGCTGCTGTTGCTGCTGGTAATGTTGCTGGTATTTTGGAAAGCAGTTGGCGCGCCGAGGATCAAAGGTGATAAGTTTCAATGAGAATAAAAATTAGAAGGTCGAGAAACTTGGACAGAAAGTGGGGAATTTCCTACGGCAAATAAACAACAAGTGTTTCTGATGTGCCGCCGCCGTCGTCGCAACAGTAGCAGCAACGTGCGGGAGGCACGGGGAAACTGCGTGCCCCGAATGTCCTTAAAACATTAAATCCAACTCAAAAGGACAAGTTTCCAGGACAACAGCACTAACAAAAACCCCAGTTCAAACGAGGCCACTTGGTAGACCAAGGCCAACAGCACAAGCAGCAGCAGAGCAACTGCAGCAGCTACTGCAGCCCTGCTGACGCTAATGCATGCGGTGCCAGCTTGACTCGAGGCAGAGGCTTCTACGCATCGGCAATATGGGATGGACACACTAGTTTTCGTCCTGGAAACAAATGTTATTTAATCTAGATGACTTGATGAGTTATTTCTTGCGTCTGCGAGTAGTTGGTATGTACAGCAGCTGCTGCCCCAACGCAGACAGCCGCCCCCAGAAGACAGGGGGCGTCGCTTTTGATCATTTTCGTAGTAAAATACGAATAAGACACGTACCAGAGTGAGGCCGTCGTCCGTAAAGTTGCTCTCTGTACGGCTTGAATGCCTTCGCTCTTGACGATAAGCAAACGGACGATAAGCAAACGCCGCCTACGTACACGAAGATGCCTCAGAGGAAGCGCCATGGCAAACAACACCACCAACAGCAACAGAAACAGGAGCGTCAGCAGCAACAGCAACAGCAACAGCAACAGGAGCGTCAGCAACAACAGCCACAGCAACAACACCAACAGCTGAGGCAGAATGTGGAGAGACAGCAGCTGCGGGAGGTCAAAAAAAATGAACCACGACCGCAGCACAAGGGCGAGGACAGGCATGCACATCTTCAGCACGAACAGGAGGATGGACGACAGCAGCCCGCACCGAAGGATACTGCACCGGCAGACTCCGCTAACAGCTTGGCGGTGATTTGCACGCGTTGTTGTTGCTCGACATCCCCTAGACTCATCACACTGCAGCTTCGCCGGACGTTAAGAATTTTGAGTCCTAGTGGACTTCCCTGGCATCCTAGTCACCGTCCTTGATTTCTTCATGCTTCTTAGTGCACCTTTCAGTGAACAGTAGAACGCTCCTCGTAGCACGACGCTGTCGGAGACACAACCCTGACGCAAGGGAAGCTTGAATTTCGGGTTTATCGTGAAGGCATCAGCGGTGCTTGGACTTGGGATTGTCGTGTGAGGCAACCCATTCATAATGTTCGCTATTTCATTTTTCAGGAAGAGGTCCACCGGCGGCTGCGCGCCTGCAGCGCCAATGCCATTGATGTTGCCAGCGCTCAGATGTACGGAGAGGGCCCTGATGGTTGTCCTACATTTATCCGCTGTAGTGGGTCACAGGTAAGGACTGCCGATTTCCGAGAACGAGGTGCAGAAGGGGCTTCTGTTAGTGAGGCAGTAACTGGCTACACCGGCAGGTGGAATGGCCAGCTGCGGACATGATTTTTCAAGTCGTTGTACAGTTACCGCTGCGTCTAGCCACCGTTTTGATTCATTCCACTCTGTGTTTTGTGCTGTTGCGTTTGCAGAGGGTCGTAGACAAAAAACGCCGTCTACTCATCTCCTGGGCACCCACGACGCAGCTACCTCCAACGGCAATCCCCGTCGACTCACAGCCCGCCCTTGAATTCTACTCCCCTTCAGGCATCAAAGCCCTACGCACAAACCAACACTAAGCCAAAACCCACCCTGTACCGTAATTATTTCTATTGCTTTTCCGGACGCAAACTGTGGGAAATGGACCCTGGCCAGCATAGCGCTTGCCCACTTGATGATCAGTGACTGACGTTTATTCTGTCATTCCCCGAAAAGATTATGTCTTGTCATCGAGGTTTCTGCATGTAGGACCGGGCCAATCTACAGGGGCTAATGAGAGTGGCATACATGCTCTTTTGCTCAGGATTGTTTGTTTCGCTTTAGTTGACTTTCCTGTCTTGCCTTGATTGCGTTAGGGTTTAGTGTCGAGTGTACCGGACTCTTTGAATGTCATGTGCTGTGTTGCAGGGCAGTTCGTAGCGCAGGTGACGTCCGTACCTCCTCCGGAGAACAAGGGAGTATCTAGTGGTGGTGGAACCTCTGCAGCCCCTTTGCATCGGCTTGAGGTTTGGGGCGCAGCTGGCAAGGGAGATTTGGGATGCGCCATGTGCCTGTTTGCTCCCCACGGCATTCCTTGGCTGAGCCCGTACGGGGGCGGCTGTTTCTGCTCTCAGGACGAGAACCTGTGGGCCGCACAACTCTCCCATGTTGCTGTTAGTGTGTGGTCATTTCTTCACCTAATTAATTGCATGGTCTAACCGTCCTGCTTTTGACCTGCAGGTTTTGCCTTACCTTTTGGGAAACCGGCATTGCTGTCGTCACTGAATGCATCAGTTCCATTGCATGCATTTGCTTTGCTGCGTGCATTGGCACTTCTGCATGCGCGCCTCTGTAGGGTTGAATATGCAGTGCTGTAAAGCACGCTTTGTCAACGAGCAGCGGAAGGCACAGATTTTCAGAGGATCTTGCTTGTCTGCTTTTAGGCTGTTGTACGTGGCGGAGGCCGCACAGAAGGACGCGTGCCCACCTTTAGACAGTTATCTCTACAAAGACACATGGGGAGAACAGTTGCTGCAGCACTCTCGAGGAAGAGTTGTCGTAGGCAGTATAACGCCTCCCACCCTCGCACCACTTCAGCCCAGGCATAGGTCCGCCAGCTATGCACAGGTCAGCGACGACCCACAATTTGTACTACCGAGTACACTGCTCCGGAAGTGGATCTTCCAATCTTTTGTTTCCTTTTTTATGCAGCTTCACATTAAGTATGTACTGCGCGCTTAGTTTGCTCGATGCAGGGTTCATAGTGTAGGGTTTGCAGTCTACTGATTGTCTTTGGAGACCTTCAGGCGTCTTTCGTCCCGGATGGGTCTGCTGTAATCTGCACAGAAATCCCGTCCGCGCCGTACAGGTAAGTTCCAAGACCTAGTCGTGGGGTTTTGCGTGCAGTAGGTCTGCAGGCCAGAGGCAAAATAGTTCTCGTACTTTGTTTTGGAAGATTTTATCGTGAAGACTCGCAGTTTAGCTGTGTGCTTGCGAGTATGTTGTGGTGACAGACTTGGGCTCAAGTTCTGCATTAACCGCCGATCAGCTGTCTTTCTTGCGGACTTCCCCACTGGAGGCGTCGCGAGGGCCCTGCGTGCGTTGGGAGCTTCTGAGAAGGGCCCGCAGGGGCCCCTCCAGCCGACATGGTTGCAGATTTCGAACGAAGAAGATTGGGCAGCGTGGGAGGCGAGAATTTGCGACTTGCCTTCGCATCCGCCGGGGCAGCTTCTCGCATTCGAAGTTGTCTACATGGCGCTCTCAGATGACTCCAAGGTTCGCTGGCTTCGCCGTAGTTTTAGTTTTAGCGCAAATCGTCGAACCCAATCATATATATGAGACCTCGGATGTCCTCGGATGTGATGTGAAGCCGTGCGTTTGGGATTCTTTTGGGGTGCTCGTGTAGGAGAAACGCCCTCATTTCGGAAACGCCCGCCTCCGAGTGGCTATCGTGGCTCGGGAAAACCCGGAGTCCCCATGGGTTGTGAAAAGTAGAAAGACTTTAGTCAGCCCGAGCCCTTCATCGAGCTTTCAGAGCCGTCATGGGAAGAGCTCTGAGGCCTCCAATGGTGAATTTGCCCCCACAACGGTTCAGTCCGTGTGCGTGGCGGGGCCTCAGAAAGAGTCTTCTAGCGTAGCAGCTGCTCATTCTCTGAAGGCATTTGAGGGCCTTTGCTGCACACAGCTGCCTCCGTGGAGGAGCCGAGGGTTTCTTGTGATGAATACATTTAGAGGTTGCCGTCAGACGGTTGTGGCCATCCCTACAGGCTTGCAAGGTACCTATTTACCAATACGCAGCTTCCTATGGTCCGTAGAAACGTCTCAGAAGCATCGCTCTGATCAGATGGGCATAATTTGGGAATATTGCTTCGGCGCAGATGACCCAGTTGCGCGTGTTGTTTTGAGGATGCTAAGGATGAGGTCTGTGCGATGATGTACTGCAGCTGGAGAGGCCCGCGTTAAGAGAGTCCACTTCGAGGGTGCCCAGGGCCCGAAGGCGCCGGCAGACGTGAAGGCAGCAGTAGCCGCAGCTACAGTTGGTGATGTCCTACTGAGGGACATCCGCGGCCCTTGGCTGCTTGTTCAAACCAGCAGCCCGGTGCATGTGCCAATCTTAGCCATTGCAAAGCTGCGGGAGCTCAATTTTAATGAAGAGGAAGGAAGCGATGGCGATTCACTGGACCCTCCGCATGTGGCAGAAGTCGTTGATGCAGTTTCCCTGAGAGGAGGCTCTAAGGGGGCATTTAACGGGGTGAGGCGGTGACCGCTGTCGACTTGCGGACTTGCGAGCTCTGTAGAATTGAGACTTCTGGCAGTGACTGCTTTTGCCAGTGTTCTTTTTCTTCTGGGGTTCTTCCTGCGCTTGCCTGTTCCGTGTGTCTTGTTGTTGAGCATTTTGATTGGACTTTGCCTTCGAGAGGTAACAAGTTTCCCTTCGTTTACTGTGCTGTGTCAGGCTGTGAAGAAGCTGCAGCTACACATGTTGACACTTTCTCTATATCATTTGGACCATCAGCGGCACTGGTTGGTGCGGCTAGGCCGTCCCCCAAAGGGCCCCGAGGAGCCTAGCTTGGCAGTTCTTATTCATGGGGGTCCTCATTCCTGCGCGAGCTGTATGTACAACAGAGAGGTTCTTTTTCTCACGACTTTGGGCTTTGACGTTTTGGTTGTCAATTACCGGGGTTCAGCTGGCTTCGGCCAGGATGAACTCGTCTCTTTGCACGGTCAGTTCGGAGGCCTTTCGTTGCTGAAAGCGCTTCTCTCAAATGCCTTAGCCGTGTTGAGGTGAATTCATAAAGATAAGTGCCTCAGATTTTAGCGTTTCTCGATCGCTCCCAACGGTTTAAAATTATTTTTAAAGTGCCTCGTATCGATGTGATGCGCTTTACTTTACTCAAGTAATGCTTTAGTAAGGCATGTCTGCGACGCTTTGAACTCAGGGCGGGCAGGGCGGCAAGACGTTGAGGATGTAGCGCAGATAGTGCAGCAAGTGATCAACAAGTGGGGCATCTGGGGTCCAATCTGTATCTCCTTTCCCACCAAGCACCATTGATAGCGTGCTGTACGCACCCAAATAGTAGTTGACATACAGAGAGATTGTGTTTAGAGCTGTTACACACACCAACACGAGAGGGATTTGTGCCTTCAAGGGAGGGAAGCTTTTGTGTGCATGAGCTTCAGATTTGGTTATGACAGCAAACGCTGCGCTGCAGTCGGTGGGTCTCATGGGGGTTTTCTCTGCTGCCACCTCATTGGCCAGGTGTGTATGATCTCAGTATTGCCGTCGTGGTGGTCTACGCTGGATTTCGTTTGCAGGGCGTATTTGGCTGCTTTACATGGGATCCTGTGTCTGTAGTCCTTGCTTAAAAGTCTGTGCCACGTGTCATTTGCACCAATAGTCAAGTGTTTGGACTACTTGCTGCGAGGCGCTCTGTACGTTCTCCTTTATTTTGTTCAGTTCCCTAAACTCTTTAGCGCCGCGTCGACACGGAACCCCGTGACATATGTCCCAGGGATGTACACAGCCTCTGATATACCAGGTGTGTCGAGGGAAAAATCGAGAACAGTTCTGGTTCTCTTCCAGTGGGAGTTATGGTTTGTGGGATTATTACTGAGCTGCCGTTGCACGTGTTGCAGCGTTGCAGCTCCGAATGATAAATATTCGAAACTGACAAGTCTCTGCAGATGTGACTATTCTCCCAGTCTGCGCGATCGGCCCTAGCAACTGTTAGTGGCTCATCATGTTCCTCCTACATGGCTGGCATCTATTTTGCGGCCAGTGCGCTCTTGCTTTTGAAGACTTGTGGGCATTTTTGTCCTGTTTATCTTTTATACTCATTTAATTTTATGTTCTCATGTACTTCTTTGGCTGTTTTTAACGAATGGCACAATGCTTCCTGTTGGTACCTCCAGTTCCTCTGGCTAGTCCTCTTATCTTTCCCTGCCACAGATTTCGTCTTTCCTGTTTCGTGCGGCGAGGACTTTGACTTTGCGAAAACTCCCTCAGCCGAGGCACTCGTGAAGATGCAGCGGCTGTCTCCGACTGAGTTCGTGGGCACAGTCCAGACACCCCTTCTCCTGGCTCTCGGGGCTAAAGACCAGAGGGTATGAAGATGGCTGCTTCAACGACTGGCACAGTGCTTCTTTGTGTGACTGTGCAGATGCATTAGTTTTACCTTCATGTCCGTTCGTAGCAGTCTCAAAAGTGCCATAGAATGCTTTGGCTGCAGTTCCGACTTCCACTGAAGAACTCTTGCAATAGCATGTTGAGCCAGGCCAAGACTGAAGGAAACTGCCTAGTCTTGGTGAAATTGGATTTAAAAAGGTGTCCGATTAGGGAAAGTTTCGTTAACCAAGTGTAACTGGGTTTAAAATGCCGCCTGTAGACATTATCTGTAGCCTTAGGCTTACCTTTGCATCTGAAGCTATGCATGTTGTACATCATATCATGCGTCGTCTATGCATGTGCACGCATACATCCACAGATGCTCACCCAATCACATTATAAAATTAAATATGCAGAATCACGGAGCATGCGTATCAATGCATGGAAGCCTGTGTCTCCGGAAACAGCGGGGTTGCGCACCTGCAGAACAAGGAGGTTCATCTTAGAACTGTGGTGGAGGGCCCAGATCGCTGTAGCACGAAGCGCACGCGCACATACACAGGGTCTAACTTTCAATGCCGGACGTGGTCCCAGGCACCGACACTTCTTGTATCTATGTTTCTTACGAAGAACGTTGTTGAGCCTCTTGAAGTTTGTTTTTGCATTGAGGTCCTTTCAGGTGCCGCCGTCTCAAGGTCTCCTTTTCTGGAGACTACTAAGCGCCCACGGTGCGTAATTATTCATCGCCTTCATCCTGTTGAGTCATTGCTGCAGGCTTCACGCCTTCTCTGCTTACATGCTGGTGCTCTTGCTGTTCTTTTTGTTACAGGAAAGAAGAACAAGTTATTGTGGTATCCGGAGGACAACCACAGCCTTGACTTGCCAGTAACAGATGCCGACTACTGGGCCAACACGGCCGCTTGGTTTCTAGAGCACGTCCCCCAGCCTGTCCTTCCTCCAGTGTAATAATTTTCCGACGCCATATAATGTGGCAGCTCCTGCATCACCACATTCTGTTTCTCAGCCGTGTCCTGCGGGTAGCGGAAGCCTAGAACATGGATATCTTGCAGTTTCTGAATCAGGAGCTCTTTGGGGAAAGGCTAGATGCTTAAGTGGCTAGTTGCGGATAGGAATGCTGCTGTGAAGGCTGCCAAGGAAATAATCTAGATATTTGTTGCTTGCTGGACTGGCAGTAGTAGATGCAGTTCTTTACCTGCAGGCAGGAAGAGGGAACTCCGAAGGTGCTGAGGTGCCCGATTTTTTCTTTTGTTTGTACTGCAAAACCGGGGCTTTCCGGGTTGTCGACTGCATGGTTGCGCGATTGAGGTGGAACTAAGGGTCCGCAGTTTTCCTTCTGGCACAAATAAACTGATGGACCGAGTATTTCCCTCGTTGCATGCATAAAGTGATCACTATCAAACTAATGTCGTATCTCAGCAAGCTTATGCTGTGGTATGTTGTAGCTTGGCTGCATAAGTTTTGCCTCGGACACGAATCCATGGTACTATATGTACCATCTGAGCGAAGTGTCAGTATAGCCACTTGACTGATGCTTATTTCTTTTCATGTCACCGAAGGACCAACACTTAGCATGAACAGATTTACTGATGGGCCGCAGAAATCGTCATTGTGTAAGAGCTGGCAGTCCACCGTATGCTGTGTAGGACTGCCCTGTGCAGCGTCGGACGAATTCTTCTTTGCAGCCTCTGCGTCGCATGCTAATTTGACAGCTGTTGTGTCTATCTCACTTGTTGTTCATAACTGAGGTTTCTAAGGACTTGGTTCCGAGAGCAGTAATGGATGCTCTGCTCTGCAGCTGCACAGATGCTTTTGGTACGCATTAGAACTCGAGCTGTAGTGACACTAGTGATGCATATGTAGTAGAATATTATTGTAGAGTGCCTTTCTGATTTAGAGAAAGTAGATCATCAATGCGAGCAACAGGCCACTCCAAATTCCTGCTTTGCACCAGTGAGGGCCGGAACCGATGACGGATCAGAACTCGTTTCTAGCGACTTGGTGTTTGTCAAAACAGCGACAAATCGCAAAGTCAGGAGCAGCACCAGAAACTGAACTGAAAATGTTGGTTTGGCAGTGGTTCTGACGGTTTTCACATCCGACAACGGATTTTGGACAGCCTCATGTAAATCTTAAATATGAGGGTCCACTAAGGTACACCCACATCGCGAGAAGATTGTTTGGAAGGCCAGTAGCCTAGCTGTGTAGAAGCAATTGAGCCGGAAGAAAGCTAAAGAAACTGGGGAGTGCTGAAACAACTAGTTGCTGACTTTGCGGACATCGTAATTTTTTGGGATTCAAATGCAGGAGTGAGATACATCAGAGAAAGCAGTTCGTTTCAATTTGCAAGATGATTTGCAAGATGTGGCTTAGAGGCACTTGCTAAGTGCTAGTCAGGTGAGGTGGCTCAAGATGACCCAAGTTGGCGCTGACGTCAAACTCTTCATCCGTTGAGGCTGCGCCGCGCAGCTCGAAGTACTGGGGCGCCGCCGTGCCAGCTGTCAGTTTATAGAGGCAAGCGTACTGACCGACATGAGTGGGTCTAAGAGCAGACAGCAGAGAGAACGACAGGACAAATCCAGTAGCAAGGGCTCCAAAAAACTCACTTTTGATCAACTGACTAGTGTGCAGAGCACGACAGCCAAACAAAATGCGGCGGAGCAAGGGCCCCACAAGGACCACGACCACACTTCTACTGAAGGGGTTAGCAGTGTTGCCCTGCTACAAGAAACGGACAGGAGCAGACACACGCACAAGCCCTATAGTCTGTCAAGTTTTGAATGGAAATTTCATGCAACTTACATGAAGCGTATCCAAATGGAGGCGGTGCTGTTTTCTGCCTTTCTTCCCCCGAACTTCATGCTCTGCAGTGTCCCCTGTGACGGGCTAAACTGAAACGCCCGTTCTGCTTTCACGTTTTCCCCGGCCTGAGACGCAGCAGAGACCCACAAGGGAATGCATGCAAGGGGCCTGAAGTGCAGAGAAGAAGGCAGAAAGCGGAGAAGACAATATGAGTCTGCCTTTTACATGGTAGGCTTTAAGGCGTAGGATGAGCAAGATACATAAAAAGTCTGTCCAAGGGTTTCACGGACTAGGCTGATAGACTTGCTAAGGGGAATGCACTGACCAAACCCAGTTGCTGCGTTGCAGTCCCAATGCTTCCCACGTCCTCGCTTTCGTTACTGCTGCGCTTTGTGATGCTGTTACCGCTGTTGCTGTTGCCGCACAAAATGACACGCCAGTCCACAGCTGTTGCTGAGACAGCCCGCACCTGCAGCATTTTGCTGGGACGCCGTCGGGATTCCACGTGAATGGTTTGAAAGTCTATTACAAGAGGGCGCTGTGGATCGCAGTAGGGACACCAACCCCTTTCTCCTGCCGTGCCTTGCATCTCAGGTGGAGCCCAAAGCAGAAGAAACGCTTGCCTGGAGAGTCCTACAAGAGACACAACCTGGGTGCTGTTGGACACTTGAGCAGCAGCAGTTGAAGAAGCTGGTGCTGCTGCAGCGCTTCCATCGAAGGGCTCGCAGGAGTTTTCCTCTGCCACAAGTGCACAAGCAGCTGCCGCTGAAACTTTAGGCAGCACGGCGTCAAGACGCTGCAGCAGCTTCTGATATTGCAGCAGCAGCGAACTTTGTCCTGTCCCCTGCAATCCGCGCTTGTGCTGTTCCTGTAAGGCTGAAAATCCCAATAGCAAGAGTGCAAGAGGATCGCCTTCTGGCCACAGCACTCGAAGAACGCCTCCCAGCAAGGCTTGGAAGAGGGGATGCTCTTCTAACGCTTCCAGCTGCGGCTTAATCTGCTGTTGCTGTAGCTTCTGTATAAGCAATAGCAGACGCCTCACCATAGAATTCTTGCTGGTGCCTCCTGAGGGCTGAGCCATTGGATATGAAATAAGCAGTTGACCGGAACAGCAGGCGTCTCCTTTGGCCATTGCTTCACATGTTGGAGGAGAGAACTCCACAACCAGCCGGAGCTGTTGGTGTCTCTGGACTGTGAATGTCTGCATAAGAAGCAGCAGCATCTAAGGGAGCAGGAGTTCTACAAGCACTAGCAAGACCAGCAGCAACAGCAACGGCAAGCCCAGCAGTAGCAACAGAGCACCGTCACTAGCTTCAGAGCAACAACGAATCCATGACCAGCCACAACCAAAACAGCACCATTTCTCCCCACAGCTTCTTCAAGCTTCCTCTTTTTGCCATTTGCTCATACGTAGCTGAATAAACTGACGTTCTGAGCCAAAGCTAAAGATTTGAAAGACAAATGTTTCTCCTAAGGCCGTGCTCTACCCACCATCTGCTCCTGGGCTGGCGCGGCAAGTTTCTGCTGCCGCTGATGCCCTGTGTGCTGTATTCGCTCTTTTTGCTCTTGTGGCTGCTGCTGCAGCTCGGCATTCACAAGTTTGAAAGATCTTCCCTTTATAGAGACAGAGCAGGTGACGGAATGACAGTGGCTTGCTGGTTGCAGGATCACTTCCTTCAGGATAGGGACAGCAGTAACGGGCCAGCCTGCGCTGTCCACGTGTTCGCTACCCGGTGCTGCTGCCTCTTCTGACGCAAACCACAAAGCTCGGGGCCCAGTTGTGTCTTCTTTTGTTTTCTTTTCTGCTCCTGGTTCTGCTACTGTTGGCTTCATTGGTTCTGTGGGGTTTTCTGCGCCAAACGTCATGCGTAGACTAGGCAGCCGCGTCTGGATTGTGAAGTCGACGATGAGAGGAGTAGCAGCAAGCACTGTAGGGACTATCAGACAAGCCCCACTACCGTGAGCGTCCCCAGAAGGTGCCGCATCAGCAGGACCTGCTGCAGCATCAAAGGCTTCAGGGGTTTCAGCAGGGATGCCAGCGGTTTGGCTTTGATAAACAGCTTCAAAAGTGTCATTAAACAATGAACGCAGAGGCCGGTTGGGAGGCTGTGTAACAGGACAACTTGAAGGGTTGACGCCTGTACAGCTCAGGAACCGCTTCTGCAATTGTTGTCGTCGGCACACTGTGTCACTCTTTTTGCTTTCAGGCGCAGCTGCCGATTGTTTAGATTGTGTCTTTCCCATTTTTGGATGTTTTCGGCCTGAGGAGTTGCAAGCCATGGTGGCCTTTCCCTCGACAGGATATGCGTCGCGAGCAGCAGCAGTTGTTGCTATTTTTCCTGTTTGTGCTGCTTCCATAGAGATGGGGGCCGCAACGCCCACAGCTCTGAGTCTGTGATACCCTGGGGATGTCTGGAGAGCCCCACAGCAAAGAGATACCTCGATAGTACCGTAAGGAGCCAATACGAATTCGGAGGGCTCCATGCGAGGCATGGCAATACCCTTGTGACAAAATGCCACACCACCCATTGCAGGCTCTGCTACTTCTGCTACGGCTGCTGCTTCTCCTGAAGCAGTTGGTTTTGTGCTCGTCATGGCTGGACAGCGAAGCATCCCATCTGCGTTGAAACTCGGCTGCGGTAGCTCGGTGCTGCAGCGTGTGCCTCTTGCACTCCAGGAGTAGTCGCAACTGTGCAACATCGATGCAGTTGCACTGCCCTGTGTTGAAGTAACCGCTTTTATTGTCCCCTCACCCGCTGCGTGAGCAGTCAACCCTGTAGGCTTCGCCTCGGCGTCGCCATAAGCAAGTATAGTTGCCTCGTCCACCTGACCTGCTTGCTCTTCTGCTGTTGATTGCAAGTCTCTCTGGGGTGCCGCCAGCGCTGCGGTTTTCTGGGAGCGAAGCACTTCGACTGCAGCAGCAACGGCCCGGTTTTCAGGTAAAAGAGGCATCATGTCTGACACCAAGCAATAGTGAGGGGGGAGCAGCTCAGTGTAGCGGTCGGCCCATGCAGCTGCTGCTGCTTCATCTCCCGTTGGCTTCTCCTCTGAGCTCGTAGGCAGTGTTTCTTGTGCGCTGCCTGGTACTGCTGATGATGGCGCCAATGCATCTGTTGACACCAAGTCAACTGGACCATCTCTTCCAGCACCCTTTTCGAGAGAAGGGCCTTGTAGAATACCTCCAGGTCCTTCCTGTGGGATAATTGCAGCCTTGCTTACTACTGCAGGTGCGGCAGCTTCTCCTGCAACTGTCTGTCTATCTGTCTGCGCTAGTGGATCCGGTGAAGCATATAATGACGGGTGTCTCCGGCTGCTTTCGAGTTCGAGAGTTGTATTGGGTAGAAGCTCTTTCGCTATTACATCTCCATCTGCCGCTGCTGCAGAAACGTTTGCGGGTGTTGCCGCTTCCCCCAGAGCTTTCCATCCAACATTTGTCTTCAGTATGCCAAATTCAGCGGCGGCGGCCGCTGCTTCTGTAGCCCTCATCGAAGCTTCCTCAGCAGCAACTGCAGCTGCAGCAGCTGCTTCCGCTGCTAGTACAGCTAGGTCGGGAGTTTTGGCTGGCTGTGACCTCTGTGGCTTCCGGCTGGGCGCGACAGCCGTAGGTGCAGCAACGGAAGTGGCTGCTGCTGCTGCGCCCACTGCTGCTTCTGCGGCTGCTGCCGCCTCGCACGCCGTCCCGACCACACGCTGGCGCAGTGCCTCAATGGCTGCTTCCCTCAAGGTGGCAGCTTGCTGTAGCTGCCTCTCCAATTTCTGCTGCATTTCCCAAAGGCCGATGTCAAACAGAATCCAATTAACGTGCAGCCACTTGCTGCTGCTGTTCTCTATTCTAAAGGTTATGCGCTGCTCTTTGTCCCCCTGTTGGCATTGCTGCTGCTGTTTCTGCTGAGTGTCTGCTACAGCTGCTGCTGGCTCGGCAACCTGCGGGTCTTTGGCAGGCATTTTGAGAAGCATGAGCTTCGTTTTGGTTCTATAGCTAGTGAAATTTGAGTGCTGCTTCTGCTGTAGCTGCTTCTGTCCCTTCTCTACCATGGAAGGCTGCTGTAGGGCAATCTGGGCAGTCATGAGCGGTGGCATGCAGTCCCGGAAACGAAGACACTGCTGGGGTGAAGGAATCTGCAATAAGGGACCCCTCACTGGCACTTTGAGAGGTATAAGTGTTACAGCTTGGTGTTGTACCACTTGCTGATGTTGCTGCAACTGTTGCGAAGAGGGCAGCGATGGCTCCAGTGACAGCCGCAGGGCTGCGTCAAAGTTCGCGGGAAGAGAAGCAAGCATTTCTAGGGCAAGCAATGCAGCTTGTTGCTGCTGCAGCACGCAACTGCTTTCAGGGTGAGGAATTATCACCAAGCCTTCATCGGTAGCCCTCAGCAACTGCTGCCGCCGCCGCCTTGCTGCTGTTATCTGAAGTGCCCGTACACCAGCAGCAGTCTTAAACGAAGGTCGATCTGCATGAAGCGAGCCCAGAAACGAATGCTGCATCTCAGAAGGAGCAGCAAAAGAGGCTGCTTGGACTAATAGGGCCTCAGCAGACAGGTAGTCTGAATCAAGAACTCCACCATTCCTGCCCTTAGTTCCGCTGTTATTATTGTGGTTTGTGGCGCTGCTGCTACTGCTGCTGTGGTTACTGCTGTTTGTACAGGAGGTGAAGCATGCGTCTGTTTGAGCCAGCCAAGACGACAGAATTTCCCTGCTGCTGCTGCTTCCCACTTCGTTGTAGACTTTGCTGCTACTGCTGGTACAGTCTGGGCACATGAGCGCGCCCACTGGTCTGCCATCCTCACAATATGATGGGTGCCGTATCCGTTGCTGCCGCATCACCGGTTCCTGCTGATGCGTTTGCTGCTGCTGGTGGGCACTTGTCAAAGCGTCCAGCCGGATTGTAGTCTTGATGGGCGAATCATTTATAGCCAACAAATAGAGAAAGGAGTTTTCCTCTCCCACAGTTAAGGCTGGAAGCTCCACCTCTGGTGCCCCTTGGCTACCGTGAGGCGCCGAATTCCACTGCTGCTTCAGAACGCCCCAAGTGCCGATGCCGGCAGCCTTAAGTGTTGCAGCGACACCTTTTGGCCTTTGTTGCATTTCATTTTCATCTTCAGTGCGAGGTGACGCAACGCTGCTTGCTCTGCTTCTGCTACTAACGCTGGCCTCTTGCCCAGGCAGACATACGTCTTGCTCATGCTGTCGTTCCTCCACCGTGCCTTTTTGCAAAAGAGCGCTGAATGCATTCTGGTGTTGGGCAGATACTTTCAGACCTTCCTGGGGCAACCGCTTCTGCTGCAACAGTGAAGCGGCGGCTTTGAGCTGTTGCTCCGTAAAAAGAGCATACGTAATGGATGCCCCGCTGCACGCAGCCGCAAATGTGACTTGCAGGGGCAGCATCAGGCCAGCACCTTGACAATAGGCCTTCACGACCAAGCAAGGGGAGGCAAGGATACCTAAGCAGGAGATATCTAAAGAGACAAAGCTCCGACTGCCCACAATACACTCAGCGGGAGACACAGTTACTAGCAGGCCGCAGGGGCCACGTGCGGCAGGTGTGGCCGTAGGCGGAACAGTTCTCTCTGCCACTTGTTGCTCTTCCCCCTGCTGTTGCACTAGCTGCTGAGATGCCGTATCTGCCACTTGTTTAGGTGAGTTCCAGCAGATCTTGATGGGTATGTCTCCGTCATTGTAAACTGTAAGCTGCTGCTTCAGCAGCAGAGGCCGCAGCAGGAACAATGGCGGCAGATTTACAGTGTGAGTGCTAAGGCGCAGATGTGGCAGTGAAATTTTAGCTTTAAGAGAAACGGCAACAGGTTGGCTGTCTTCCAGCGTCTCAACCTGCAAAATGAAACCAGTCTACACTGCATGCTTGTCGGATAGCTCACCTTAACCACCGCCTCAACGCGTACACAACAGGTGAGACTTACTAAAATAAAGGTGTCCAGAACTTTAGGATGAGACGCCCGAAGCGTCAGCAGGAAAATGCCTTGTGCGCCAGGAGGTAGCAGGACATACGATGGATATATCACTAGCTGTCCAGATAGACCAACCACCACGAAGTCTTTCCGCTCCTGCTCAAGCTGTTGTTTGCGCTCCTTGTGCTGTAGTCGCCACGCAGCCAGGTGCTGCTGTATGGCCAGGTGTTGCTGTCGGACTGCGCAAGCATTCTCTGCAACAAAAAGAGCCCGCGGTATTGCAGCCGGCTGACCATTTGCTGCTGTGACCCGGAATTTACCTCGCATCTCTACAGCTCTTTGCAGCGTTTTCAAGCAATGTGGTCTAAAGTTAAGCGGACACGGAAGCGCATGTTTTTTACCACTGACAATCACGCACCTTCAAACTCACCGTCTGAATCAGAAGAAACCTTAGCATCAACTGCAGCTGCTGCAGCTGCTTCGGCCTCAGCTGCAGCAGCATCTGCTGCGTTCAGTGGGTCACGAAGAAAAGGTTCGCAGCAAAGCAAAGACTCGTCTACGCAGAGGCACTTGGTGCAGCAGCGCACCGTTGCAGACGGATTGCAGGATTGTGCCTCACAGATTTCAGCGCTACCTGCTGCTGGCGCTCTGGTTCCGGCACTTTTAGCCTCCGTCGTTGCCGTTCCTGTTGCTGCTGCCGTGCTCATGATTTTGTCTACAGTTTTTTCGGGCTCCTCACTTGGGGCTCTGATAAGTGAAGAACTGAAATGACAAGGAAAAGCTCCGGCAACCATATCATCCTCCGGAGGCCCAAGGCGTTCTGCTGCTGGGGAAAAAACCTCGTCAGCACTTGCGAAGCGAAGGCGAACAGCGGCAGCGACTAGAGAAGTGTTGCGAACGAGGAGGGCTCGACTAGTCCGAGTATGAGCGCGCACCTAGCACAACACGGGCATGTTCACAGAAACAGACAAGCCGCTCCACTACAGCTCTGCTGCTGTACTGGTGCTGCTACTCTTTCACGTGCACCTGCCGTTGCTGCCGCTTAGACTCGCTGTACCTGGTGAAGCATGAAACTAGGTCAGTATCAATTAAAAGGCCACAAGGAGACTCACCATCCCAAAATCAATTTGTGGAGGCCAAAAGTGAGACACTCGAGGGCGAAATACTTCAATACAAAGGGGGAACACCAAACGTAACTGTTCTTCGCAACCGGTTGCTGAAGGGGCTCCTGCTGCATTGGAGACAGGAACCAACGACGGAACATCCGTCTCTTTGAGTGGAAACACGGAAAGAGGAACATCCATGGACATAGCACCGCAGCAAAGCGGCAGCAGCCTCATGGCAAGCTTCCCCTTCGCTCCTGGAGGGACAACGCGTTGTTCTTTACTTGCCACACAGAAGTAGCCAAAAGGCTGAGGGCTCTGTCCAAAGATCTGAAGGAAACCATCAAAAACATCTTCAACACTGGTCATGTATCCAAGCTAAAAAAACACGAGAGCAAGGTAAGCAGAGAAAGGGGAAAATGAAGGGACAAAGGTAACAACTTGCCACATCTGTTTCTTTCTCAAGTCCTTCGATTTCATCCTCTTCAACGCGAAGAAGCCACGCAGTTTCCCATTCATTTCCAGTGGAGGCGCTGCCGCTGCTGCTGGTGCAGTTCGTTGTTCTTGTACGGGGGCCACTTAGCTCACTACTTGCGTTACTGTGGTTAGCACCTCTCCAGCGTACTTTCAGTGCCCGAAAATTAGGGTGCACAGACAGGAAGACGTCAGCGAGCCCCTCATTCTTAAACCTAAAGACTACACTTTGTACTGCGCACGGCCTCATACGTTTAGTGATGGGAGATTCCGCCTTGTCTCCAGCGGTGGCAATGCCTAAGGCCACCACCTTTGGCTGAGTCACTCTGACACGCTGCTGAAGCCGCAGCAGCTTCCACTCCTTAGGGTATTTTTCTGCCGCAGCCTCCAAACACTCCATATGCGTCAGCTTTCCACCCCTTTCAGCGTTATGGCATCTTGAATCCGGCTCTGCAAAGAGGGGTGTCCAGCGCACTTTGAGCTCCGTCGGGTCTTCTTCCGCAGTTTTTCCCTTTTCTTTGCTTTTAACTGTGTCAATGTCTTCGCATTTATCTGCGTTATTTTTTTCAATCTCTCCTTTCACCCCATTCATGGGTGAGAGGCCCTGGGCACTCTCTGGGCACGTAATGGCTTGCGGAGAGAGGAGGGCGCGGGAAGAAACATTTACAATCTGCAGAGAAAAGCGAAAAACACTTTTGTATAGATAAGAGAGAGAATAGATTTCGGAAACACGATGGAATGTAAGCAAAGACTGAAATCAACGGGGTGCATCAGCAGAGAGATGATACCTACCCAAAGAGAAAATTCGAAGAAGAATAACCCACTTCTGCTACTGCGGCTATCTGGCAGCGCGGTCGGCAGCATCCGTGGGTTCACTGCAAAACAAAAGGAGCGGCTTCCTTTTGGGGGAATGACAGCCTCCGATGGCGAAACAGAAAATGCACTGCACAGTTCTGAAATGTCATTTGCTGCTAGTGGTGCTGTGGCTGATGCTCTTTGTTGTTTTGCAGCGTGGCGCCAGACCACATGTATGGGTAGCTGCCCTTCGTTGCAGAGCACGACAGAACGGAAGATAGGGGGGCCGCCACGCTGCGAGATAACCGAAAGCAAGTAAATGGTACGGCATATAAGTTTTTTTGGTCTGATCTCTGATGACAGGCAAAGCAGTAGACGGCATGCCAAAAATGTTAGACTTCCGCTACAATGGCCTACCAGAGAACAGCCAAAGTCCATGATGCGAGGTAGTAGGCATTTGATGGCCTGGAAGATCTGAGCTCCGGTAAAACAAACAGAATCGTCCATTTTACGGCCCACTGGTGCCAATTCTTCTGCTGAAATTTCTTCTGCTGAAGCTGCTGTTGTTACTTCTTCTGCTTTAAAAGCACTGTGTGGATGACCACCGAATTTCGGAGCAACTGGTTCTGCTGCCATTAGCCCTGGCAGGACGCAGAGCCCAGGCATAAAGAAAAAAGGGAGGTGTGAGGGCCACTGAGTGCCACAGAATTCTTTAAGGGTCAGTGCAGCTGCCTCTGCGAACCCGCGGAGTTCAACTGTAGCAAGGATGTTCAGCTCTTCTCCATCAGAAGCCTTTTGGGCTGCTGATATGAGTTGCAAAGACGCAGCGAACAGTCCCGGTTTACTTGGAGTAAACCGTAACATCAGCGAAGCCCCTCTGTCCCCCCGACCCAACAAGAAATCCCTTCTCAACACCGTAAATGCTTCTTCACAATCCGCCGGCCACCCAGTATAAGGCACTTTTGTGGGCTCTTTAAGAGCAAGAGGCGCTGCTTCTTGATGCTGTTTTTTTGTGGATAAAAAGGGGCAACGCGACGCAGCTCTCTCCTTGCTTCCGCCCGGAGCATGTGGAGATATTAAAGCCCTTACAGTCCCCTCTCCTCCCTCATTTTGCAGACACAGTCTGAAATTCGCAGATCAAAATCTAGCCTCGAAATGAGGTCCCCTGCTCTTTTAACCCTGGGACAAAACTGGCAGTGGTCAGAGTTCGTCCCCTGACTCTGCTTAGCCTTGGCATTCTCATCAGAAAGAATTCAGGAAAGGAAAATCACGAAAACTCCTAGGGACCAAGCCTGATTATGAGCGCGACAATCCAAATTCGGCGAGGAGTTTATGCTGAGCTGCCTGGCAATCAGGCCCCTGCCAAGGAAACAACTTTGTTTCCCAGTTTAACAAAGCTGTGAATAGCGCTATCTTTGCGTGCGATGTGCCGTGTTGTGCTATTCAGTAGAAATTCTTACTCCATTACAACTGACTCTCCCGGGCGCGCGGCGCCAAAGTCTAACACTCGAGGTAAAGAAAGCAACGAAGGGGGCTCTTTGCGGGCTAGAAGCTGCAGAACATTTTGGGAGATCAAACAAAGGCCACTAGAAATGGAGCAAGGCAGTGTTTGTGTCCGCCGCCGGCGTCGCCGGAAATGATTTCAATCGGTGGAGAAAGCATTGTGGAGTGAAACGTCACAAGTGTTCGATGGAGTTTGTTGCTCTAATGTGCTCATTCTTGCTTGTGCATGATTTGAGATGCACATTCTACAGAGCATATAGGGAAGCAATGGGGCCGCATCGATCCCAAAATACTACACCGCTCATGAAGTGCAGCTTTGAAATGCAGAGGGGAACAGTTACCGGTATTGCGAATGCGCCCTTCTCGGTGTGGAGCTCCAGCAGGCCCGTTGCCTCCGGTGCGGAAGGTGTTGGGCAGAAAGAAACCCAAACCTATAAAGCCATCAACCCAGCAAGTGAGAAAGCGCCTTTTTGAAATGAGTGCTTGCCTGACGAGGAAAATCAAGCAGCGCGCATTAAGAAAGAACAACTACACATCCATGTCTAGCACTTTTCACTCAACAAGAGGCCCTGTACTCGAGGTCTTGTAGTGGCTTCATTGCAGATTTGTCTCGCCCACCTCTTCTGTACTTCATACCGGAAACAACTGCGCAGCCTGCACCGTGTGCCTACCTGAACGGACATTCCAGTCGCTACAATTCCTGAGACATGTGGGGTCGCTTGCTCTTCGCCGCAGCTGCCAGCAAGTGAATCCAGAAGGACGCCACCTCCCGGGTACTTTGGGAGGGAAATTCGAAACGGACTTTTCGGGTCGATCTCTAATCTCATGCGCCTCCCAACGCTTTCAAGATTCCGCAGAGTCACCTTTTTCGTGTAAATGACTCCTTGAATCACTTTGTCAAATACCTGCACTGACAGTTGCACACTCCTAAGAGAAGCTCTCGAAACGCCCACGCAACCAGCACAATACTTTCCTGAGGTGCATTGCCGGCAAGCACCCCCTTCACCTTCGTTCACCGCAAAGGAACTCACTATGCGTTCCGGAGTGACTGCGAACGGGCACCCGTCGGATGAATTCAATGCTGCAAATCTTGGGTTCTTCAGGCACAGGCGGCCTTTCATAAGCTGATCCTGGCCATCCGTACATTCGTTTTTCTGTTTAAAGAGAGTACTTTCCTGTTGTTCAGTAGCGCATTGAAAAGAAACAGTCCACTTCCATGAACACAAGACCAGTCGGCATCCAAGAAGGGAATATTTCGTTTTTCCTCTGACTTCGCCTAGTTCACACACTACTCAGACTCTGTAGGCAAATGCCTACGCAAGCATGCATGAAAGGGACAAACTGTGTTGTATGGTGCTACTGAATTAACTGGCGAACCTCGGATTTTCTTCTCATTGGCGTGTGTGAACTTCGAGGCTGCCTGGTTCTTCTATGACCTATAACGTCGCAGAAGCAGTAGAGTGGACGAAAGCGATCTCCGCGGTCTTTACAAGACGCAACCAGCATTTCCTGGTATCTGTGCAGTATGCTGAACCCTAGGGACGCAATTTATTCATGGCCAAATAAACTAGAGACGCTCCAGAGCACAGCAGAAGTACTGTGTGATAGTTTTGTCTGCCCAAATAATAAGGAATTATGAATGATTTTACCCGACGTATTCTCCAGACTCTTCTCTTTGCGCCACTGCATATCGTACTGCCAAGGGAAGCACGATTCAGCTTTCTAAACTATGCACTGGACAAGATCAATCCCAGTAATGGCACTCAGAGGCGCCGTTTTTCTTACCGTCTGCTCTTTCTGTTGGATGCTTTGAGCGTTTTGTGGCTCTGTCCAGTGTACAAGTTCTGCCGAGAGAAGGTTTAGCGTCCTCCAAGGCATCTTCCTCTCGATGTTTTTGGCCAGTAGCGAACATTTCGAAGAAGCACTGGTAAATTTTTCTACAGGTGATGCTCACTGGGCACAGGATGCTTTTCTAGACTAGAAGGGAAAATGTAACTCTTCGTTAAAAGCCCTGAAAACCGTTGTATCCATTGATGAGACAACGCGGCACAGCACTTAGAGTGACGTGAACAAGCCGCCTCGTGCAAACTATTGAGAGAGTTCATATGGAACGTCGTCAGTGACCTCAGCACTGTTAGAAACACATGAAATACGTTCTCCACTGAAGTGGGTTGTTCTCTCTGCTTTCCAGACTAACCGCGCCCATGGAAAAGCACCAAGCCAGCATTGATTTCATCTAGGAATACCCTCTGCTCTGGCCAAACGCGACTGGAGTTGAATGTGCGCGGGATGCTAGGGCTGATCGTGTTTGTGCTCGGAACTCATCATACAGAAAAAGAGCGCCTACTCTGGATTTGGCTGCGCTAGACTAAAAAGCTGTGGTTTCTCAAGGGACGACGGTGCCTACATGAATTTCATATTGGCAGCGCAGGAAGCCGCTTGCAGCGACTCTGTCTGGAGATGCGGGAATGCAACGTTATGGCAGATGGGAGACATCGGAAAATTCAGAACGATTCTAGTGGGAACAAAAGAGTCAGGAGCATTTTAGAGATGGGGATAAATAAACCTGCCCCGCGCGCAACAACTTCGAGGTCACCGACTCGCTTGAGTGTACAGACAGTTGTCCCATAGTGCGCGGTCCATCGTTGCATCCTGTCCACAAGTGTAGTTTTTCCATGCCATTTGGTCAGATTTTGACTTATACTTGAGATCGCGCCCCGAAAGATCCTCCAGTACAAATTTGCCACACCATTTTCACAATGTTCGTGGGCGGCCCTGAGGATATCCCCATTGAGGGTGACGAGTTCGAGAAGTCGAGGCCAAGAGTCCTCTCCATTGCTGGATACAGTTTTCTCTCGCTGATCGCCCACTTCTTTGTTCAAGATGTAGGAAAACTTCCCTATTTGAGCCGTGAAGCCCCGTAACTGAAACGTACGTGCTCAGGTCGGCGGAGCGTTGGCCATGGCCATCCTTGGCGGATTGTTGTACTACTATTGCAAGAAACCAACTCATCTCAGCATCACGCTGGCATTAGGCATGAGTAGGCAGATGCGAAAGTCAACTAAGCTAAGAAACCTCGACATTCACATTCGCTCCAGGCCTGGCGATCCTCTTTATGAGCGGCTTCATTTGGTTCAGTATCTTGCTGTCAACGCACCTTGTAAGTCTTATAGAGCGATCTAAATCGGAGATAATACGCTTCACCATCCATCGTCTACAGCAACTATGGCTCGCCGATACAGTGACGCAACTAGAGTAAGCCAGCACCCTACACATCCCTCAAAGCAACTGTACTTTCTATTGATTACAGGTTCATTCTGTATCTCTTCGACTTCGGCGCTTCTTCTCTTGCACTTTTCCAGCTTCAATATGTTTTCGACTCTCCAACATACCGTAGGAAAAGTCCATGACGCATTAAATTCATATCAGACTCTCCATGGAAATTACAGGCGGACCTCGGTCTTTCCTTCCTCGCTGGGCTGAATCCGCCGCCCGTGGCGAGGGTTGGAGAGGATGGTCACCCTTCCAGGTAAAGTCAATCTACACTAAATGGCGTGTGCATGCACCATGGACAAAAACGAGTAGGGCGAAGGGCAACGCCTCGGAGGATGGCAGTAAAACAAAAGCCAACTGCGCTCTGGAAAACTACGACCTAACAAGCTGGCATCCACTTATGAACACAAGCCAAGCCATGTTTTCAAGATTTCCTTGCGTGGCAAAGCGTTTCGCAAACAGACATGTAACTTTAATGGTTGTGTGTAACTCATTGAACAACAGCTACAGGCACTTGAATATGTGCACCGTAGAGTTAAGCGTAGGACGTTTGTTGCTGCATCAATGCGGAATACCAGATCCTCCAGCCATTCCTCCCCCGAATTTGCGCATTAACTTAGAAATAGCATCTGCGACCTCCGGGTCATCCTTGTACTTTGCCATATTTCCTGGATTCGTCAAAATATCTTGGAACGCTGCCATCATCTGAAGAAAAAACAAACAGCAGCACGGTTCACTAGAAAATCTCTCTTCGTCAGATATCATCCTAAATCAATCCACTTTCCTACCTTTGGATTGGAGAACACCTGTTGGACGTCAGGATCATTCACGGAACCTAGTAATCCCCCTGCAAAAAACACAACTGACATCCCTTCTCCAGTCTCAATACACGCCTCCATACGCAAAAGCAGCTCTTATGTAACTCAGCTTACCTAGGCCTCCCATGCCACCTGGCATTCCACCAGGCACGCCGCCTGGTATCCCTCCGGGCATACTACCTGACATTCCTCCTGGGGCTCCACCAGGATATCCTCCCGACATTTCGCCAGGAAAGCCTCCAGGCATTCCACCCGGGAATCCTCCAGGAACACCACCTCGAAGGTTCCAACAAAATGCAACCGCGATAGTTCATGAAATTTCATGTTCGAAGTAATCGGGTGCCTACATGCCCTGCTCAGTTCTTCAAACTAACTGGGTAAACTCAATCCTTGCAGCGTTACGTGGACGAAGTTGAAATGTCTCACTTGCTTCACGTTTTTTCTGTTCCTCGTACGCTTTTTGCGAACTGGCTCGTTGTTCGCGTATCCGTTTCTCGCGTTCCCTCCTCTCCTTCTGAGAAATAGAATGGAGGCAGCTGCCCGTGTTTCCTGTATTATTCATCACCATTAGCTACTGATACTCAACAGACCAGTGATCTGTAGCTTTACCTCCTCTCTCCTTCGTTGAACCGATCTTTCATGTTCCTCAATTATCTTGTACTTTTGCTCGACAAGTTTTTGGATGTCCCAAATGTTTTCGTCGTAGTCAATCTGCGGGTAGGAAACTCATCCCATACTCGCAACCACAGCTTGCAGCGTGTACCTACCATGAAGTTGACAGCTGCGAAGCGTAAACCGCGAATCGTACCGCACCTTTTGTCCCATCTCTATGTCGCTGTGAGCTTGTTTCCAATTCCCAAGGTACCTGAATAGATGCAGGACATTTGTATAACCCGATTTCGTGTCAGTGGCTAGAAACTCTTGGTGGGGCAAGTGCACTAATACGTACTGCGCCGTGCTGTTGCTTGCCTGTTGGAAGTTCCGCGAATTCTGTAAGCTCTTGCATTGTCTGGATTCAGTTTGAGAGCCTCATCACAATCCCTGACTGCTGCTGCATATCTCTTCTGTTTAAACAGAACCTCAGCTCTGCGCGTGTATAGAAGTGCTGTAGGATTTCCAACAAGTAGTGCCTTTGTATACGATTCGACGGCCTTATTGAGGTCGCCTGCCTGAAAATGCTCAGACCACAGTGTTTTGTGTCACAGCATCTACCTGCCCGATTTTGAAGATGGACTGCAGAATGCCCACTATCACTCTTGGACGCACGTACCTCAAGTGCCTCTGCGGCTGCCTCCTTTGCTTTGGAAAGCTTTTCGTAATCATCATCTGTAAGCTCCTTTTCTCCAGCAGGTGCTAGGGCTGGGGGTGGTGTCGACTCGGGCGCGACAACCTCCTCATCATTCAGCGATTCCACGTGGAAAGGCTCCTCTTCCGACTGAAAAAAGACAGCATACGTACTAGAATCAACGGCAAAAGCGCATAACATTCTGCAAAAAGGCAGCCCTGAGAGCTCAATAAGCCTACAGACAGCTTCTGCTAGTTCTGCAAATACACGTAGACTTGACGAACTTCTTCCTTTGGTTCCTCTGCCAGAGGATCAGGAATCTTGGCGCCTAATGACAAGAGATATTCTTTGAAGAAGGAGAGTTCTTGTTTGTGGAGAATGCTAGGATCATTGCGTGCAAGCGTCACGAATGCCTCCAATTCAGCAACTGCACGAATGTCACAGTCACGCCGCTAAGTGATGCCGCCACCACCCAGATTGTACGAACAACCCCAGTAAGATATCGTTCACAAGAGCGTCTTAAATAGTTATTCTTGGCTAGTGAGTCTCTCCACGGTGTCGCGCTCTATCCAGATCGCATGTACACTCCACTCAGTTCGATGAAAAAGTCCAGCTTTCCGAAGCCATCCAGTGTAAGACAACCGGCAACCGTCCTTCTGTCGGCACATTTCACTTACGCTTCTCCTCCCCAAACAATGCCATTGTCTCGAACGAGCAGTGTCCTGGCGGAACGTGAGGAGGCTCGTTGCAGTGGAGCCGACGAGGCACACAGCATAGCACACTTTCTGCTCTATGCTGCTAAAACACCAGCTACTCTCTCAACAAAAAGCACACAATGGATGGAGCGAAGTTACGTCCCCACGGAAGAAAGTGCCGCAGCTGCAAAACGCCTGAGGCGAGGTTGGGGCTTGGCCGCCACTGCGGCATAGCACCATCAAAATGCAGCAGCGTTTTCCCTACGTAGCTAAAGATTTAAATATGCCCTTATAGGCCTGTACAAGGTGTTAGTATTGTCACACCAAATAACAACCCGTCCTAGCGCCAGCAGAGGCCACCAGCACACACAACGGCATATTTGAAAGCAGGAAACGCTGCTATGGTAACGTTAAGTGAGCTTGAGAAGCAACAGTTGGAATATTACGCAAATGGAGTTGGGCATATGACAACATTGTGGGACCTGAAGAAAACCAACTTCAGCACAAGGTGTCTCGGAGTGCTGGGTGGAAGTGGTGGGTGTCTGCTGTTGGTTGTGTAGTAGTATGTTATGGAACGGTTTTCTGCCTTGAAACAACAAAGAGGTCTGCACTCTTCTCATATCCCGAGTTCGGGTTTACCGTTAACCTCGGACGTACTCCGCAAGCTAGGGCTCAAGGAGTGTCTTGTACAGATACCGCAAGATGTGGTAGAGGCACAGCTGGCGCGCACGTTTTTGGAATGTACATTATGCACCACGTGCGTATGCCTCAGTGAGAGTTTCACTGTGGTTATCTCCAGTGAACTGCAGCTAGTCAAGTCTGCTACGCAGCAGCGAGGGATGATCCAGCTGTCGCGGGGGCTGCGTTAGATAACCGAGCGCTGCAACCACCTTCAGCTAGGAACCACTGTGCCTCGCATATCACCGATAAAAACAGCAGTCGCCTTTTAGATGGCGTTTCCTGCGTAGTGCTCCTAGATAGTTACGGTGACAGGTAGCAGTTATTGCTGCACGCGGTACTAGTCTAGCAATTACAAGGGTTTCCACGGTTCTGTTGTGTCTGTGTGTGGAGATGAAGCGTAACAAACGTAGTTAACCAAAGCCGTATATTGTAGAAAGATACAAAACATAGAATGCGGAGCATTACGGAGTTAAAGAGCAGATGAGAAGGGTTCTGATCTCATACGTTTATTATAAGTAGGCTGAAGGCAGAGCCCGTAACAAGCAGTAACGAAACCAGAGGAAAAATATGCATGGACATACAGAGAACGGCCCCTCTTTCTGTTCTAATTTGCGTCGGCGAGAAACGCAAATACCAGTTGTTTTTTATGGGAAGTAAAGTACCACCCACTCAGTTTTGGAGGTATTTCTCTTGTTCGCCGCCTCTACACTAAATAGGTGAACTTTAGAAGTTGGAAGATCTGACGCAAAGAAGACTGCTGAGACATCAGCTGCCAGTTAACTCCTGAAGGTGTTTGTAGCAGTGTAAATTGCAATCCTCGCTCGACCAAAGCTGTATTTGCTAGGGCCAATGATAAACTAATCACCCATTGGTCAATCCCCTGCCTGATCACCTCATATTTTGGGCAGTTCGCAGTTCAGTTGCCGTAGTGACTATCCGACAGCCAGTTCCTACCCAAAGCAGAGGGTCAAGTTGCTAAGAACGCACACTTAACTTTTCGTTCGTCTCTGGCTGTGAGCATGCTAGCCTGGCGTGAACGGTGGTTCCTCGCTAGCATGCTGGAGTTTCATCTTCGTTCAAAGGTGATGTGCTCGGTCCTGGAGAAGCTCTCTGTCCTGTGCCTAGACTACTGTTCCAATGAATTTTAGCGTCGTACTTGCACACCTCTTCAGGTTTATCACACGTTGTCTCGCAACGCACCATCGTGATTAGTTCAGTCCACCCGCCACTGAGTATCATGTCCACAAAACAATCGTGGACCCTCTTGCGCCATACTTGTACACCTCCTGAGCTTTATCACGCGTTGTCTCGCGACACATTACTATGTTTAGTTCAGTCCACCCGTCACTTTGTTCTACTTTAGTCCAGACCCACATTCATTACACAACACCATAGAGCTTGCATTGCCAATTGAGGGTTGTTGTTTGATTCCAGATGGATCCATACCGAACAAATTTCGGCTTGGGTGCTTACTAGTAATGCTTGAAGCGCACTCATTAGGGAGGCCTTCGCTTATTGTCTCTTGTATAGAAAATTAATGTGTGACGCCACATCTTTGGAGTAAACAGCGTCAGCAAGTTAAAAAAACAAGACACAAACAACGAGGGAATGCAAAGCAAGTGAAGCTGAGCAGTACGCACTGAACACCTGAGCGCACACCTGCCTGCGTCTATGATACAGGCTGCTGGTGATGGTGGTGGTGCTGCTGCGCTGCCTGCCGGCTCTGCTGGGTCGCTCGCTTCTCCCTGGCGGCCTGTAGTAAGCGTTGTAGTCTGTGAGCGTGCCTTCGCGCTGCGTTGATTTGCTCGACTATGGGAGCACTCAGAGCCTTCGTCGCCGCCCCCGTGAAGCCTCCTGAGATGTCCTGCAGAGATGTAAGACAAAATCGATTTGAACAGATATACTCTGTTGCAAGAGCCAAAAACGGTCAAAACCATGCAGCCACTAAACGCTGCGCTCCACCCAACCGTACTGTACTTGTTTGCATTTATTCGCCTATCTGTTTTGTACAGATGTTCCTATCTTTTGTTTTCTGTCTGTTTGTTTCCCTGCCTTTCTCTGTCATTCACCAACTGCAGTCACAGCTGCTTCCCTAAGAAGCAAGGCCTGCATGTGTGCTCTGCCCGTTAAGTCTCACATGCAATTGCCCCTAACGTTACATTCTCAACGATGCGAAGGCACCCTTGTTGCGGAAGGGAGCTTACCAACGCACGAAACATTAAAGTAGCAAACAAACGCAATGCACTTGAAATACTCCTCAGCATGAAGCCAAGAGACAACGGTCAACAGTCACGGACAGCAGCCAACTCTCCAGTTCGCACGATCTGCACAAGCCCTCGGGGGAAAAACACGCTGCTCACAGGGGAGGCATTCCCATAGCTTACTTGGGAATTCTCAAGCTCGGCCTTAATGGAATCCAGGGCCTGTATGAGTCGTATCCGTTTCTTGTCCTATAAATATCAAACGACAAAGGTAAGTTCTCTTGACACCGGGTAACGACCAGGAGATAAGACCTCTCAGTTCCGAATATGTCATACGTGGCCACTTATTAACAAGCCATAGGTGCGGCATTGCCAGTGAAGCAGCTTCTGCCAAAGCAGGAAAAGATAAGGCAGCGATGGGGTTGTCCTGATGTGTAGAGTCACCTCAGGCAAAGTTGTGTTGTAAAAGTGACGCAGCAACTCGCCTACGCGCGCCTGCTGAGCTCGCACAGCGTTGACTGTCGCAGCCTCGTAGTCAACTGAGCCAACATACCACCAAATCAATGCAAGCGCATGCACCAAAACAAGGAAAGGCAACGCGGCAAAAGCATACGCAAAAGCCACTGAAAAGGACAAAATAAGCAAAGCAAATTCAAGAGCCAGTCAAATAAAGGGATATAGACTGAGTGCACGGTGGGCTCTCTTAAAGACCTATGAACACCCGCACAGCCACCAGCAGCAAGCCAAGTGAAGGCCACGGAAATATTCGTGCTATGTATGTTCCCTTCGTATCTGCAGCTATACGCCTCACGCTCGCACCAACGGCGGCTCAGTCAGCAAATGAGCAAATGAGCCCAAAATCCCTCCTCAGATGATCCATTCGGTAGTACATTACGGCGCCTTAGAGAAAATATGATTATATACCACAAAATGCACTGCTCAGTTCACTGGTTACTACGTTTGTTCCTTTCAAAAGACAGCGGCTGTGATGCTGTAACCCTATAAGGTAACAGGGGAGTCACATGAACAGAGCTACAGGGGTGAAGAGCATTGTTGCCTTACGAGTGGCCACCTGCGCCGCTTTATCCTTTTGACATAATTTTGTATTGAAGACGAACATGTAGCGGCCAGTCTCGTACACCGCGGCCACCTCTTCGGCCTGCAAACAGGAGCAGTGTCCATTCCATGGCATTTCAGCCAAACGCCAGGAAGGTAAAGTACACAGTAGCAGAGCCTTGGCCCGCCTGTGAGCATCAGCCAGGTCTGATCTTTGATGACGTCTGCTGCCTTTTGAGGACCCAAGCTCTAGACAGTCTCTTCCGATGTTCCAGTAAAGGCAAGAGAGCCGCCATTAGACCCGCGCCCAAGGCAAGAGTCAACTACCCGCACAGGCTCGTCTCTTTTGCTCGCTTACCGTTTGTCGTGCTCCTTTGTTTCGATCTTTCGCCTTTTCTCGCTGCATCCAAAGCCATGCTTCAGCGGCTGCCACCTCCTGTGCTACTTGCAGACATCCGGTTCCTTTCTCTATTGCTGCGCCTTCTGGATTCCTATCACTTTTCGCTAAGCTGTGAAGTGCTATTCCAGCCGTGGTTGGAGGCCTTGCTGAAGCTTCATAAGGACGTGAAGGAGAACTCCGCCACACTCGAGCCCCTGCAGCGTACAACTGCCGCCTGCTGACCTCAAGAGTTTGATGCTCGGCGGGAACAGCATCCTGCAGGGGCAGTGGACTCCACAGTAAGGTGATACTCGTGTAAGAATTTGGACTCTGAGCAAAACGCCATTGCACAGATAGTTTGGGTCCTGAGTCTCAAGGTAATAACACGGCACTCGACTTACTTCCAGCTCCTCGAGCCGCAAGGACGCCAATAGCGGCGCCTCCTCTTCCAGTACTCCGCAGCCAACTGAACCGGCAAAGAACAGCAGTAATATGTACCAGCAGGCCTGCATTGATCTCAAACAGCGCACGTCTGCTCACTTAAGGCTGACCAACAGCAGTGGCTTACTGGTGGCCGCATCCTTAGGATCAGCTGCTGGAACCCCTGTACCAGTGGTGACACCACGCTGCCTCCTCAGTAGTTCATCTTGTTGCACCAGCAGCTGCAGTTTCTCCTTATGCCCTGTTTTA